GGTTGAGGAAGGAGGGATTTTATAGTGGGTACAAAGTTGAGATGAAATAGGAATCTTGTACCAAATTGGACTCAAATTCTAATTCCTATATTTAAATAAAGAAATTGTCGTCTTTAATGATATTTAGAATTTGGAAGATTCCTTGAATTGCTAACTGTTAATATGGAGATATGAGCCTTTAAATCCGCGCAATTGATATTAGGAAAAGAGATCTCGCGCTTGTATTGAATTTTGCCCAGCTGCGCCACTTTAAGCGTCTGTTTTTTTATCCGCGCCTCTTTAGACGTCTGTTTTTATCCCAGAAACAGACGCATATTTGACGCGTCGAGAATTTTCTCGACGCGTCGAGACTTCCTGTGCGCGAATTAATTAGCTACTGGAAAATTTCGACGTGTCGAGCCCTTGGCTCGACGCGTCGAGTCCACTGGGCCCCGAACTCATCCAAAATTGCTCCAAACTCATCCTTGAACTCCCCTTGGTCATATCTTTGACCTAAAATGGTTCAAAAACACTAACAAACACCGTAAAATATTCAAAACAAGTGCGAACCATAATTAAATGATAATAGCAAGGAAAACATGTATTAAATAAGCAAAATTAAAGAGCTTAATTACTGTGATGATTCAAAATAACCATAAAAACAAGCACAGATGTGATAACATCAATATGCTTGGTATAACTGCTGTCTGTGCTTAGCCCTATCTGTTGAGTATATCCCTGTTTTAAAAGCTAGAGTTCGTAGAATATATCTTCATGCTCAAAATGGTTTTCGTATATCTATATATATATATATCTATATGTACTGTATTTCAACGCGTTGGTGTGGGTTACCAGCATCTCTCGCTAAACAGATATATTTGGCTTTCAGGCACAGAAGAATAAGTCAATAGAGCGCGCTAGAACTTGGAGCGTAGAAGTAGATAGTTTCCCTTTCGGCCTGCGTGCCATGTGTTGGTCCCGATAGGGTGGTGAAAGTCTAGGGGGGGGGGGGGTGAATAGACTTTCAAGCTTTTTCAAATTAAATAACTCTTCGGTAACTTCAACTCTAAGTAACAAGTAAATAGAGCAAGTTTGTACTGCACAGCAGAATAATAGTAAAGAGTTATGCCCAACTAGTAAATTAAGTGTGCAAGTATAAGTAAGATAGGTACAAATGATATGTAAAGTGACAGAGATATCTTGAATATATAAAGGAGATGGTGCACTCAATATATAATAACAATATTCAATATTGTAAATAAATATCGTGTCACGTCGTCCGTGTGACGAATGTTACATGCAGCATGTCAAACTTGCTTAGAATAAATTAGTATTTAAGCTCGAGAAGTTTGAGTCACATGCATACGTGAGAACACACTAAACCCGGATGATTAAGATTAACTGTGAATAATAAACGGGTTAGTCGGATGAGATAGATAGATATAGCAAATAATGTAAGTGCGGTATGTAAATGAGAGAGGCAATTTATAGTGGTTCGGAAGTGGCGTAATCTTCCTAGTCCACTTTTCTCCTTTCACGTCTAGGAGAAATTCACTATTTTCCACACACAGTTACAATAGTGAACAAGTGCAACACAGGCACTTCTTCCGGATGTCTTGCACACAGCTACACCCTGCTCCGAGTGTCTCGCACACAGCTACACTCAACTCCGAGTATTTCGCACACAGCTATACTCAACTCCGAGTATTTCGCACACAGCTATACTCAACGCCAACTAAGTGTCTTGCACACAGCTACACTTAGCAACTACGAGTGTTTTGCACACAGCTACACTCACTAGAGTATTTTGCACACAGCTATACTCTTTCTACAATTTACAAATACAGGGATTTGTATTTCTCTCTCCAACTAGATTTGAGACTATTCAGACTAAGTCTCTTAGAATATTTTGAGCACTAGCACTTTTGAATTTTGCACTTGTATTGCACTTCTATCTCGTTCACCTCTATCTCTGCTTTTGTCTTCAAGTCTTCATGGCTTTTTATAGATAATCAAATATATCCGTTGGAGTAGGATAATTTGATATTTTGAAATTTGAATCTTCATAGCCTGATGTTGTTGACATTAGTAGATCTTCAATTTTGATTTGATTTGTCAACTTGCCTGACAAAGTAATTCTTTAGCACAACTTTGATTTTCTAGTTGTTTCTAAAAATATTACTTTAATTGTCAATTTGAATATCCAACGAATCTTTGAAATAAATTCATCTGATAGAATTTATTTCTAGGATAAGTTTTTATATTCATGCCTTCATAAATATTTTTCCGTTCTGATCAAATGTCTTTCAGGCAATTTTGGAGTCTTGTGGCATGTGGGTGGACTTGGAGTAAATTCCTTCAAATTTATCCAATTTCTGATCATCTTGCTCTTTTGCCACATTGTGCTCCTTTGACTTGAACATCGTGCTCCTTGACTTTGAACATTGTGCTTCTTTCGATACATTGTGCTCTTCTGACAACATTGTGCTTCGTAGGTAGCATTGTGCTTCTTAGGTAGCATTGTGCTCTTTTGACAGCATTGTGCTTCGTAGGTAGCATTGTGCTTCTTAGGTAGCATTGTGCTCTTTTGACAGCATTGTGCTTCTTAGGTGGCATTGTGCTCTTCTGACAGCATTGTGCTCTTCTGACAGCATTGTGCTTCTTAGGTGGCATTTTGCTCCTTTCAGAACATTGTGCTCTTTTAGCACACATCGTGCTCTTTTGAACACATCGAGCTCCTTCAAAATCTGCCTTATTAAAAAAGGCATAGATCCTTGGGGGGAATCAATCTCGGGTGTGATCGTTTAGAGTAAGGACCTCTACCATTTCGCCGTTAGGCTCATCCGATCATTCCTTGCAACGCCATTTCTTTATGCTTCTTTCACGGATGAATACTCGTAGGACCAAAATTAATTTCTCAAATTAATTTTGTTCTTCCTATGGTAGATTCCTTCTGATTTCAATATTCTGATTTATGATGCTTGTACTAAAGACTTAAAAACTAAGGGGATCTAAAGATACATTTGGCTCATCAAAACTTACAAAAATATTCCTATCAATTTTCCCCCTTTTTGATGACGCCAAAACCTATACTCAGTCATTTGGCTTGTCTTTTAAAACAATTATTTTTCAAAAGATTTTATTTTCATTGACATAGCCAAGATGAGTTTAACAAATGATTTTGACTCTAGGAAAGGTATTTTTAGCCACTATATTCCTATTTCGCATTTTTTGAATTTTAATGATAATGAATTTTTGCATTTTTCCAATTCATGCGATTTGATACACTCTAAGCTAAAAATGTTACCTTTCAAGACAAATAATAAAATTAAGAAACAACTTAATAGCATCATAAACAGATAATTCAAATCATTCCAAATTGTTTCATGGGTTCATGTACCCGTGGACCACAAAAATTGTACCAATCATACAAATCATCTAATCACTTTGTTTCTCTTTTCCTTGAGCACATTGTTAATATGTTTCTGAACATCAACGAAATTGTCACTAATGGCAAAGTTGTTGCATACCTGCCCAACTGAATAGAAGTTGAAAGCTTCAGTGATGTTGTTCCCGGGCAGTATACCTTCCTCATACCATATGATGCACTCTTCTAGACTTTTTCCATCTTGTAGCTCGGCATCATTGACTTTGATGTAGTCTCTTAGAACCATAATCATCAAGGCTCTAGCATAGCTTTGAATTCTTCTGAAATTTTCACTTGAAACCCACATGTTTTGATCAATAGGACCACTTTTCTTCATTCCTTTTGGTAGATCATTCAAAGATACCAACTTTGGCATTTCAACTCTACCATCTCTTGGTGTGGATTCCAAATAAAGAGCTGCACGGTTGTACCAATTTATTTGCTCAATGTTTCCTCCTGCACAAACAATATCACGAAAAGAACGGTTAGTGGTATTTGCACTGCTTGATCCTCCTGGATTGCCAGCTTCACCACCACCGAACCAATACTCCAATCCTCCTCTTCTTGGTGCATTTCTTCCAGCAGATCTGCTTCCTCCACCTCTACTACTGCTTGTGCCAACATTTCTGCTAGCCATGGCAGTCATCATCATCTCAATCATGCTCTCCAAATGACTGAATCTCTCTTCCCCCTTTTTGGCGTAATCAAGAAGTGTATGAACCGATTCACGAAGAGATGAAATGGATTCGGAAATATTCTCATAAGAACCCCGAAGACAGCCCACTTTGGTGTTAACTGAGATGAGATCCGTGTGGACATCACTAATCTGCTTTTCATGTTGATGAACAACATTGAGAATACCTTGGCTTTGGCTCACGGCAATTGCTTCATTTGCCTTTCCAGAATTCTTGAGGATTTGGGAAAGTTGGATATAGAACTCATTGAGTTGCCCTTTGACATTGTTATTCAAACTTCCAACTTGTCTTTCAAGTGCTTGGTGGGTATCAATCAAATGTTGTTGACTTCTCCGATTTTCATCAAAAGATGCTTCGAATTTTCCACCTTGAATATTGACAACTTGATCCACATGAGTGTAGATCCCTTGAAACATGCTCTCCATTCGGTCAACAAGGCTTAAGACAACATTCTCCAGATTTTTTAATTTCTCATTTGTAGGTGTGCCATCAAGTTCTTGCTCTTCTCGGGATGAGAGAAAACACCTTGCTCCTTCTTGAGCAAAATTGGCTTCAAGCATGTGAGATTGAGCTTGATTTTCCACTAGATTTCCTTCCCTTTCCGGAGTGTGTAGCACGTGAGTGTCACCATGTGCACTTTCTGCATTAATAGATTGAATTTCCTCCGTATGTTGACTAGCTTGCATGGCATTTTGGTCTTGACTTATTTCAGTGAGATTTAACACACTCACATCATATAAGCCACTATCCAGCAAATGTACACCATACATGACATTTTCTTCAACATCCCTTGTCACAAATTCGGCCATATCAACTAAAAAATTTTCTTCAGTAAGCAAATCACCTTGAATAGTGCAGTCAACAGTAGCTTCGGCCAATTTGGCTTTCAATTTATTCACAAATGCTCCATTCACCGTAGACAACAAGGTTGCATGGCAAACATCAAAATTGCCAATCTAATTTAATGAAAACAATTCTTCTTCATGCATACTTGGTCCCTTAGTCATCAACTCATCATAAGGACCAAGTCTCCATTTTCTCCAATTTAGGACTCTACGGTATTCATTCACTAATACAAAGTCTAAACCTTCAACTTGATGAATCTCCTCATTCAACATTGTTTCCAATTCTGCAATTTGGGAAAAAGGATTTAAGAGACTTTGGCTTGCATTTGGGTTAAGACATGTGGTAGGATTTTGGCTTGTGGTAGGGTTGAGGCTTGAGGTAGGGTTATGGCTTGTGTTTGGATTTTGGCTTGATGTAGGGTTTTCATGGTATTGAGAGGGTAGACCAAGAATTTCTGCAACTGGTCTTTTTCTAGCTGGGATACCTCTCGGCTTCCTCTTTCTTTTGGAATTTAGATCACTAATCACTTCATGATCTTTAAACAAGATTCTATTACTCCCAAAAGGCTTCTTTGACCTCATAGTCAACCCTTTTCTTTTGATAATCTCACCAATGAGCAAACCAAACCCTAATATACGGTTGAACTTCCCATTCCTTATTTTTGCACCTTTCACAAAGTGTGCAATTCGGCTTAAGATAAGTTTACTCCAGTCTCCCCTAACAACATTCATGATAGCATGTACATAACCAATTCTTACGGGTGAAATATCTTTCATACTATTCAATTTGCACAACACACATTTGTAGAGAATTTTAACAAGCATTTCATACTCCAACTTCAACTCAGATTTTTGACCGGAAAGATTTGGTTCGAGAGAGGCATTCTCATTCCGAATTTCTGTCCAAATTTCCGTATGATCATATAAATGAACATCTAAGTCCAACAGTGGTTGTTCTGGACTAGATATGGGTAGTCCAAAGGTTGTGTGTAACTCGTGTTCATCAATGGTGATGAGAGTTCCATTCACGGTGGACTCAATGGTCCATCCAACAACCTTGGCATTCATATAAAATTCTGCTACATCTTCATCATAAAATCCTGAGTATGGATAAGAACATAACCTCATGAGATTACTATGTTGAAGTGCATGGATGATTCTTTGTGCAAGATGAGAGTTCTCGGCTTCTTTTAGAAATCCTTGAGGGTCAAAACTTCCTCCGGCCTTGATTCCCACTGCTAGCTTTGTAAGATTGAGTTGTGTGGTGTGTTCCTCATTCGTTTGTGAGCTTGTATCTCCAATGGTGGCCATAATGCGATTGATATTTTTAGGAGATTTGAGGGATTGAGAATTTTTGGAAGAAGAGGTTTGTATTTCGGCTATGGAAGATGAAAGGCTTTTGAAAATTTGAGTGTGATGGTGGCTTCTCCAACCGATTGGGTAGAAAAGAGGTGTCTTTACACAAATATCCTCACAATTAAATGTTGACTTTTAATAAGTGAGGGGTATTTTTGATATTCCAATAGCTTCCAACCTTTGACCTAACTGATAGTTAGTTTAGGTTATATATTCTCCATCCAATTTGTCTGCTGATGTGGCGCCAAAAATTTAGATACTCGGACTGATTTTACCTGAAATAAAATTCAAAGAGCACTAAATCTGTTCGAAAATAATATGTATGTATCTACACGTTTTTATGTAGATGGAAGAAAGAGAAATCTATTCTTTCTAGACTATTTATTGTGCACAACTACCATAAAAAGGTGTTCTCATTTAAGACATTCTATCATCACACCATCTTATCACTCTTAAATGGTAAGATTTGGCATATCTAAATGATTTCTACTTGTATATATGTATATAGATATACGGTTAGAAAGATATATAAGCACTATGTGCTTTAACACCATTTAATAGATATAGGTGGACTTTAAAAAGATGTGACAACTTTTGCATGTGTGACACATAGGCACGAAAATTTAAATCAGATAAAGTGTCGAAATATCAGATGAAAAATTGAGCTTATAATTAGAATAGAGTTTAGAAACTTAGCTCAATTCAATCATGCCCATTTCGTGTCTCAATTTCGAAAATCTTGATTCACACAGAGGCTTTGTGAGAATATCAGCTAATTGATTCTCGGTCGGGATGTATTCGATTGATAATTCCTTCTTTTCAACATGATCCCAGATAAAATGATGTCTCACATCAATGTGTTTTGTTCTTGAATGTAACACGGGATTATGTGTTATGGCAATAGCACTTGTATTGTCACACAATATATTGACATTTTCACAATTCACGCCATAATCTTTCAGTTGTTGTTTCATCCAAAGAATTTGCGCGCAACAACTCCCAGCAGCTATATATTCAGCTTCGGTTGTACTCGTGGCTATGGAGTTTTGCTTTTTTCTAAACCATGATACCAATCTTCCCCCTAAGAACTGGCACGTTCCTGAAGTACTTTTGCGATCGATTTTACATCCTGCAAAATCTGCATCTGAGAAACCAGTTAGTGTAAAATTACCTTCTTTGGGATCCATAATCCCACATTGACTGTTCCTTTTAAGTATCGGATGATTTTCTTGGTAGCAAGAAGATGACTCTCTTTTGGCTTTGACTGGAACCTAGCACATACTCCCACTGAGTAAGATATATCTGGTCGACTTGCAGTGAGGTATAGTAATGATCCAATCATTCCTCGATATTTTGTTTCGTCAAAGTCCTTGCCTTCATCATCTTTATCCAATCTTAAAGATGTGCTCATCAGGATCTTGATTGAGGATTTTCCATCTTGACCGAATTTCTTTATAAGATCTTTCGTGTATTTGGCCTGATTGATGAATATTCCTTCATTGAGTTGCTTTACTTGTAAACCAAGAAAGTAGTTCAACTCTCCCATCATGCTCATCTCGAACTTATTCTGCATTACCTTGGAAAATTTCTCACATAAAGTTTTATTAGTACTACCAAATATAATATCATCAACATAAATTTGTACCAATAAAATGTGATCATTTTCTTGAATTCTAAATAAGGTTTTATCAACAAGGCCTTTTGTGAAACCACAGTTAATTAGGAACGTTGATAGGGTGTCATACCAAGCTCTCAGTGCTTGTTTTAACCCATATAACGCCTTCTTTAATCTGTAGACCTTATTAATATCACCTTTTACCTCGAAACCGGGAGGTTGTTCAACGTAGACTTCCTCTTCAAGTAAGCCATTCAAAAATGCACTTTTCACGTCCATTTGATAGACAGTGAAATTCATGTATGCGGCATAAGCTAGAAATATTCTGATGGCTTCTAGTCTTGCAACGGGTGCAAACGTTTCATCGAAATCTATGCCTTCTTCTTGTGAATATCCTTTTGCCACTAAACGTGCTTTATTTCGAATGACGATTCCATCCTCATTAGCTTTATTCCGAAAGACCCATTTTGTTCCAATTACATTGTAATTTTCAGGTTTTGGAACTAATTCCCATACGTCATTTCTCTTAAACTGTTCAAGCTCTTCTTGCATTGCATTGATCCAATCTAGATCACTTAGTGCTTCTTCAATGCGTGTGGGCTCCACCTGAGAAAGAAAACAAGAGAATAAAGAATTTATACTTGATGACCTTGTTTTTACTCCTTCTCGTGGATCTCCAATCACTAGCTCTGGAGGGTGATTTTTGAGCCATCTCAAGTCAGGTTGTAGATTGTATGAGCTTTCCACGTTTCCCTGTTCAGTAGGTAAATTGGAGGTAGACACATTTTGCTCATCAGATTGATCTCCAATTTGTATATTGACTTGAGAGTTTTGATTTTCCACGTGTGCATCTTCATTGGCTTCCACGTATCCTTCACTATTGCAATCAATGTCCAATTGCTCCATACCCTGTACAATTTGATCTTTAAAAGATATGTCAGCATCATTAAATGATTTTTCAACTTGACAAATCTCCTGATCATTTTTGTTGCTTTGGGTTTCCTTCATATGAGCTTCATCAAATGTGACATGAATTGATTCTTCTACCACCATTGATTTCTTGTTCAATACTCTGAATGCTTTACTGGTAGATGAATATCCCAAAAATATTCCTTCATCTGCACGCTCATCAAAAGTCTTTAGATATGTTTTTCCATTATTAAGAATAAAACATTTGATACCAAAAGTATGGAAATAGTTGAGTTTAGGTTTTCTCCCTTTCCATAATTCGTACGGAGTCTTATTGTAAGACTTATGTATCAAGCTCCGATTTTGTGTGTAGCAAGCGGTGTTGATTGCTTCAGCCCAATATCTTTTAGGTAGCTCGGCTGACGTAATCATCACTCGTGCGGCTTCTTTTAGCGTTCTATTTCTTCTTTCGGCTACACCGTTTTGTTGAGGTGTACGTGCGGCAGATAGTTGATGTAGAATTCCTTGGGAATTGCAGTAGGCTTCAATCACTTGATTCACGAACTCAGTTCCACGATCCGTTCGGATTTTTGCAATTTTCAAGTCTTTCTCATTTTGTAGTAGCTTCAGTAGCTCTGGCTACTTTTGCTCCACTTCATTTTTCTTTTTGAGAAATATTGTCCATGTGTACCTGGAAAAGTCATCAACAACAACTAGTGTATATTTCTTACCACTTAGACTTGCTGGGTCTACTGGACCAAATAAATCCATGTGTACTAGACTTAGCGGTCTTGTTGTAGATTCTTGAGCTTTGGATTTGAAAGATGACTTGACTTGCTTTCCTCTTTGGCAAGCATCACATATTTGATCTTTCTTGTAGACAATGTCGGGTAGACCTTCAACTAATTTGTTTCTTGCTAGCTTGTTGATAGTCTTGAAGTTTAGATGATTCAACTTCTTGTGCCATTCCCAACTTGTTGCGTGTGAGTTGTTTGCTAGTAGACACACTGATTCTTTTGTTGTGTTCCAATCCACAACGTACATATTTTTCTTTCTTATTCCTTCGAGAACAACATCTCCTGTGGAATTATTTTTCACTTGGCACTTCTCTTTGAAGAACTCTACTAGATATCCTTTGTCACAAAATTGACTTGTACTTAACAAGTTGAATTTTAGACCTTCAACAAAGGATACATCTTCGATTTTCAAACCATTTTGAAATATTGTACCGATTCCTTTTGTTATGCCGTATCGTTCATTTCCACCGAATACGACTTTTGGTCCTTCGATATTTTTAAGATTCACAAGACTTGATTTATTTCCAGTCATGTGTCTAGAACATCCACTATCGAAGTACCAAACTTCCTGCAAATGAATTAAACATTTTTAGGTACCCAACTTGACTTGGGTCCTTGGGTGTTAGTCATTTTTGGTACCCAAATCCACCTTGTACTCACTGATCTAAGTTTAGGTGATTGGTAACCATTAAATACATTATAATCATATTTAATTTTTGAAAACATTTTTTGTGCCGGTTTTTGAAATTGACTCGATTTCTTGGCACGTGGGATATAGATTGTTTGGGCCTGTGATAAACATTAAATCTGGACTTAGTCCATGGTTTAATATTTCCAAACCAATCTTGTTTAGAGGGATAGAATCTCCTTGCCCCAATCCTCGGATTTCTTCCCATTTTCCTATGAGGACTTTGTGCACTAGACTCATTGGTGTATTTCCATTTAGGAACAAACTTTCGTCTTTTAGTGTACTGTTTGGACGAAATATTGTTTCTTTGAGGCTTTGGTCCAACAGTGTTAATTTTGACATCAGTTTGGTAACCAATTCCTTGTCTCACTGTGCTTTCTTGACCTTTTACAAATTTTACTACTTGAACTTTATTACTTAAAGTAGTAGTAGAATTGGTCAATTTCTCGGAGGCTTGAGAACACGAT